GTGAAGAAAGGAGGGGGAAAAAGACTCAAAACATGAAGGAGGGGAAAGAGGAGAGAACAAGGAAGCAGAGACAGGGAAGGAGGTAGGTGGAGAGAAAGGGAAGGAGGAGGAGGAAGAGTGGGAGGAAGAAGGAAGCCACCCAGGTAGTCAGCAGGAGAGGCAAGAGCAAGAGTGAACAAGGCAGAGGAAGGCAAGAGGGCAATACAATCTGAATGCTTAAAAGTTTCCTGAATGCCAAAGGCTATTTATGTTAGCATTTGGGAAATATCACTGACTTGGTCTCATAAAATTTATCTCTTGCCAAAATGCCTCGCAGTCACGTCCGCTTTTCTCTTTTTCACATGGTAATGACTACGATACAGCTCGTAGGGAGCCAGTTCAGCCATCTCTTCTCTATGGTTCAATTCGGCAGAGAATCCCTAACAACTTGAAAAATGGTTCAGTGGTCCATTAGATAATTAGATACAAGTCAATCAGATCATTTAAGGGAAATTAATTGGAGTCCAGCATATTTTCCCCGCTGACATAGCAACTTCCAGGTCAATATAAGGAAAATGGGGACTAGGAGAAGAATCATGTCTACTTCTATTTTGTTTGTTTGTTTAAATACAGATATGTTTTACAATTTACTTTTTCCTAAGGTTTTTTTAAAAAACAATGGCTCACATAAGCAGTCACTTATGGAGACATTCATGCGTTTAAAAGTTTTTTATTTTAAAAATATGACCATGCATTGTATTTAACCCTTTGTGCCAATTGCCATATTCTGGAGCAGAGCATTTAATGCTGTACTATAAAAGAGAAAGCAGGAAATCTAGTGCTGTCATGGTAACTATAATTGTAGAAATATCATCGGAGGTCAGGGAAAGCTAGTTGTGCTGTTTTCTATACCACCAGATTATATGTGTCCCCCTCCCTTCTATTAACTGATTTGTTGAAATATTTTCTTCTGCCAAGAAATCCTTGTTTTCAGCAAATGCTATTATTGTACTTGGAAAAGGGGCATCTGTTTTTTAAAATGCTTTCAGATCTAACTAAGAGGGAAAACTAAAGTAAAAAAAGGAAGAAAGAGAGAAACGCAAGTCCTCTTATACATGCTTAGGGTTAGGGTTTAGGAGCAAGGTTTTCCATGTCTTGCTCGTTTCTTGATGACTTCGGCCTCTTAAACCAAAAGGCATTTCAGCAAATTCTGTTGTTGCATGGGGCTAGGGGTTAACAAGTTGATTGGGACTCTTGGTGGCCCGATGTAACTGAGTAGAACTGCCCCTGGGGACATTTTGGTTGTTATCTTTATGGAGGTAAATTTAAAGACCTTTTTCCCTACGATGCTGCTAAAGAGGGGTTATGCATTGGGCTTCAACATCAAGGTCAGCTGTTTGAAACCACCAGTGGCTCCAAGGGAGAAAGTTGAGGCTTTCTACTTACAAAGTAGAAACCCACAGGGACAGTTCGACCCTGCCTTAGAGAGCAGGCACGAGTCAGAATTGACCAGATGGTTGTTTGTTCTTGTTTGGCTAAACTCAAACCAAATTCACTGCCATTGTGTCAATCCTGGCCACCTACCTCCAAAAGAATCAGAGCCATTGTAAACCCTATGGGGTGACCCACACGGGGGCATCAAGAGTCAGACCAGCTGAGTGGCCCATGGAAGAGAGGGTAGAACTGCCCCTGCTGGTGGATGCTAACTGCTGCCTGCCACTTACCAGTCCAATAAACCAAACTCAAACTTGCTGCCATTGAATCCAGGCAGACTCATGGTGATCGCCTGTGAGATTCTGAGACTGTACCTCTTTATGGGAGTATAAAGCCCAGCTTTTCTCCCATGGGGCTGTGGTGATTTCGAACTGCTGACCATGTGCATGACAGCCTAACACACAACCACTACACCGCCAGGGCCCCCCAAAGCATTCCTCAATATGCTTCTAGGGCTGGGGCTGCTCTGTGGGTTCAAGGTGGTAATCTATTGATTAGTTAGCAGCTGAATGCTTAAACATGGTGCAAATTATTTGTGTGTGCGTGTGAAAATATATAAGACAAATTTTATTAAAGTGCTCACAATAAAAAATATATGCAAGATGCAAAACAGCAACTCATAAATGAAACCTGAGAGGGACCTGTGGTGGAAAGGTAGAAGTCGAGGGTGTGGAAGACAGCTGACTTGTCATCCCTCCTCTGCCAACCAGCGTTCTTCCTCCCTACTTGGTGTTCGCAGGGCTCAGTGTTCAAACATGTGTGTCCTGTGATGCTTTTGAACCATGGTTTGAATCCTCACATAATGGTTGGTTTATGACTTTCAAACCCAAGTCACAAGACTTTTAGTAAATCACTGTTACTCATGCAGATGACGACAACAGCCCGAGAATATGATGACAAAAGAGTGACAGGAATTTGCTCAGAATCCAAAACCTCAAAAGCAAACTCAATCCATCCAAGGAGCAACACTCTTAGAGTTTTTGGCCAAACTTTCAATTGTATTTGTATACAAAGCATCAAAAGACAGAAATTGCTTTATAGATTTCTCTTCATAGAATACAGATTTCTGCTGATAAAAGAGGCATTTTTAACCCTATTTTTGTGGGTAGTGATAACGTGTTGGAGCATTAAGTGCCAGGTCAGCAGTTGATAACCACCTCAGCGGGCGAGAGATGAGGCTTTCTACTCCCAGTTACAGTGATGGAAACCCTCAGGGGCAGTCCTACCCTGTCCTCTAGGGCTGCCATCAGGGGGAGTCAACTCGATGGCAGCCAGGTTGATTTGGATTTTGTACTAATTGCCACTCAGTTGGTGCTGACTCCGGCTGTCTCCATATGTGTCTCGGTGGAACTGGACTCCGTAGGGTTTACAACGGCTCTGATCTTTTTGGAAGTAGGTGACCAGGTCTTTCTGCTGAGGCGTCAGCGAGTGAATCTGACAACTAATCTTTTGATTAGTAGATGAGAGCTAAACGGTTAGCTATAGCCAAGAACTCTGCCAATCTGTACGTTTTTAAAAAATAGTAAATGCAGAAATGTACTCTACTTCCCTACAGAGTTTCCATATTAGGTCACCCAACACAGTCAGCTCCAGAAGTTGCCTGTACCAGGGAGCTGTCATAATGCGATTTCATGCAAAGAAGTATCGCAGACAAAATATGAAGCTCTGTGTTCCCACAGTCTGGAAGGCCCCAGTGTTTGATGTGGTGACTAACACACGAAGGGAGGTGACATGCTCCAGTTGTAACTCAGGACAAGAGAGCACCAGATCAATTCCACTGGTTTCCCAAGAGATGACTCAGCATCCCCGAAACTCTAGATAGGAATCAAATCCCAGTCTGTTTGCAAAGACCCGGCACTCAGATGTCAGAGACTCGGGAACTGACTGCAGTGATCTGGCCTGTCATCATCCGCAACCACCTTCAAGTCCCCAAAGCAGGAACAGAGGAAGGCTGGGGCTCCTATGGGGTGGGAGGCTTGATGTTGAAGGGAAGACGCAGGCAGCAGGAGCAGGAGCATAGCTTGTTTGTCTCCCCTTTGGTCAAGAAATAAACAAAACTGGTGGCTTTGCTAGTGAGAAATTAAAAAAATAAATTTTAAAAAAGGTGGTTTCTAGGAGGACATCTTATGAAATGCCTAGAATTCTTCCTCTTTGGGAACACTGCTCTGGACCATGAAGAATAATACACATACAAGGCATCTGAAGCCGGAGGACAGATGGACCCGCACTTCTGGATAACATAGCAGTCTGGTGAGGTCAAATGACCTGGTCATTAGGAGAGAAGCTGGCACAGGAGGCCTCTCTTCATGGTTGCAGCAGTAAAAGTCTCAGGCTCAGGGCACACAAACGAGACATGCCTGGGAGTCGATTCTGCTGCTATCTTGGGGGCTGCTCTCCATTGAAACACATTTTGACGTTGAGACTCACATTATTATTGGGTTTGCTTGGGTTTGTAGAAACATGCAATGGGGTTTTCTTTCCTACTGGAATCTTTTCATCATTGGGTTAGCTTGTTTTCTGAGTATAATAGAGCATATATTAAAAAGTCTTAAGTCTCTAAGCAGGACTTCTTTGTATGAATGAACTTAATGTTTTGTTAATAAAGTATTTGATGTAAAAAGCAGTGTACAGGCCCCATGAAAAATAAGACATTGTCTTTAAAGGGGTTTCATGTTTCCAGGGAACTGTAAAAAACATTTTTCAGTTTATTGCTTTAAAACAGGCACAAAGAAAGCCCACATGGAAGAAGCACACCAGCCTGTGCGATCATGAGGTGTCGAAGGGATCAGGTAGCAGGCATCATCAGAACAAAAACTCTTACCATAGTGAATGAGTGCAGAGTAGAGACCCAAAACCCATGAATAGGCCACTGGAGATCCCCTTGCAGAGGGGACTGGGGAGGAGACGAGCCAGACAGGGTGCGATGTAGCAACGATGAAAAATACAACTTTCCTCTAGTTCCTAAATGCTTCTTCCCCCGCCCACTATCATGATCCGAATTCTACCTTGCAAGTCTGGCTAGACCAGAGGGTGTACACTGGTACAGATAGGAACTGGAAACACAGGGAATCCAGGATGGATGATCCCTTCAGGACCAGTGGTGTGAGTGGCGATACTGGGAGCGTAGGGAGAGGGTGGGTTGGAAAGGGGGAACCGATTACAAGGATCTATAGGTGACCTCCTCCCTCACAACAGAAAAGTGGGTGAAGGGAGACATTGGACAGGGCAAGATATGACAAAATAATAATTTATAAATTATCATGGGTTCATGAAGGAGGGGGGAGTGAGGAGGGAGGGGGGGAAATGAGGACCTGATGCCAGGGGCTTAAGTGGAGAGCAAATGTTTTGAGAATGATGAGGGCAATGAATGTACAAATGTGCTTTACACAATTGCTGTATGTATGGATTTGATAAGAGTTGTATGAGCCCTTAATAAAACAATTAAAACAACAACAACAACAAAAACAGGCCCAAAGAATGATTGAAACCCAGAAGATAAACAACAACAAAAAAAGACAGGTTCTTACCTGGCTCAGCAGTAGATCTAGGTTCTGTTTGGCACACGGTAAAGAAAGAGAAAGAGATCACAACAGCATTAGATTAGATGACATTAATGATACACCTAACTCTGCTTTTCTCTAATCTTGCCAAGGACATGTCTATGTGCTACAAACTTCACAATGCAAAAGAGATAGGTAAAGTGATCATTAAAAGCCAAACCCAAACAAATGAGCACAGCGGCTGTTGAAAGATGCTACCACACGGGTGACCCGCTCAGCAAGGGAGCTGCTTCCCAGGGTTTTCAAAGCTGTGGCCTTTGTATGAAATGCCTCTGACTGGGTTCGAACCACCAGTCTCTGGGTTAGTAGTTGGGCACATAATTAAGGATTCCTCAGGTGAAAGTAGGTGAATGCATCTTTCTTTTACGTAGAAACTCATATTCTAGTAACACTGCAAACCAACAAAAGGTTGTGAACTCCTACAATTATTTGCAAAACTCCGAGGAAAAGTGTATATGTGCATAAAAATATGTAACTTTTATTGTAGCTTCTAACAAGGCCATAAACCATGGCAACTGCTACAATCTACTGTGCCTCGGTGTTGCAGGTCTGGTCCCTCTTTGAAAGTACAAATCCATTTCATAGGAATAGCTCAGCGCTTCTTGGTTTTCCTGAAGACAGATGAAAAGGGTGGGCTTTAGGGAGTGGGCACCACGTCTTACTTTTCTGTAGAATCCGGAAATCTGGAGAGTCTTGGATTTCGTTGCCTTGCCGGAACCACGTGACCTGCAGCGGGCGTGCTCCTCGGACCCTGCACTCGAGGACCACCACCTGGCCTTCGGATGCAGCTGTGTTTTGCAGTTCCTGAAATCCAAGGGAAGCACTCGCCATCAGACTTTTGTGCCTTCTTAAACTAGTCCAGAAGGCAGAATAAACACGCCGCGCTTTCGGGATGGCAGTGGAAGCCCAAAAGCCGTTTGCAGGGTCTCCACATGGATTCAGCCTCAGGTGAGTCTCTTCTTGACCACAGATCATGAAGGCGAATAGCCTTGCTATCAAACCGGGTGCATTGGAAAGCGGATTATTACAGGTATAATGAGGTTAAAATTTAACACTTTATCATTAATATCCCTTTGACTCATTTTAAATTTGGTCTGATTTTTAATATTTTCTGTTTTCTTTTCAATTGAAGTTTTTCTTTGTTTTGCTATTATTGTTTTGGGTTGGTTTTTTGTTTTGTTTTTTTTGTATGTTTTCCTGTATGTGAAATCCAAGATAGGGAATTCTATAAAGACAGTAACTGGATTAATATTTTCTTAGGGCTCTGGTAAGAAAGGCTGGGGGAGGGGAATGAGGAACTAAATGACAATGAATACAAGAAAGAATAAAATGTTCTAAAATTGTAGTAATGATTTTACAACTCTCATTTAATATGACTAAATTATTGAATTATATGATATGTGAATTATGTATCAATGAAATGGATTTTAAAAAATTTTAAAACAATCCCGAGTCTTAAAAAAATACAAAACTTGCATCAAAAAATAATTACCACTAATTGAGGTAGGGCTAAACACTTCTAATCCACTGATCATTTAGTTTTTAAGTTGTTATTATGATGATGATCAGATTTCCACCATCTCCACGTAATGAAATCAGCCAGGCTTACCATAAGCAAGTCCTGTGAGAATTCTAAAAATGTTCTGCAAATCTGCACTGACCTCCCTTTTCATGTATGAAATTCTGTTGTAACAGCTAGTGCTGTTTTTTTTATCTATATTTACAAGTAAGCTGATGGAATGAAAACTTCTTCAAACAATTACACCCCAAATGGATGTCGTGTCCCAGAAAAACCTAGATATGAAGAGAAAAAGTCATGCATTTCATGTCAAATGCTCCCATACCACCTCTGCCCAGGTTTACTGGTGTACTGAGCAGAGGCCTTTCTCAATTGGTTTTGAGGTTCTGCATGTCGCTCTGAATGGTCTTCACTCCCTCCTTCCTTGCTGGATGCCTCTGATCTGAGTCCACCAACTCCACATCAATACCTTTTTATACTCTAACAGGTGAGAAATTATTTTGCCTTGAGAGATGCAAAGAGGTAAAACTTTTAAACTTGTTATTAAGTATCACACCATTACCAATAGCTCCCGGACATAGAGCCAGGCCTACGTAAGGTTTTTGAGTGTTAAGCCTCTGAGCACGGAGGACTGGATCGCGTCTAGGGCAGGGTGCTGCTGGGAGGTGCCATCGAGTCCGTTCCCTCTCATGGCGATCCTACGTACAACAGAACAAAACTCGGCCTGGCCTGCGCCGTTCTCACAATGGAGTCAGGCTTGAACCATTGCTGCAGCCACTGTGTCAAGTCATCTTATCAGGTAGGGCCTCCTAAAATAACCCCAGCATGGAAAAGTAACTTAGCAGTGCATACAGCAAGAGAGATATCACATTAAGAAATGTTTCGTTTGTTCGATAACCACGAGGAGACAAATGATGTCCTGGAAAAGCACACCATGCGGCACAGGGTCTGTAATGAATATGCCAAGGCCCTGTGCACATCCCAAGTCTGCGATGTTGCAGGAGAACTGTTAATGTGAAGTTGGAGAAGGCATTTGGTAAGAATTTTATGTTAAAAGAAATGCTTTAAGTAAAAAAATTAAGATTGTGTACTTTTCCTGTTGAAATTGCGTTCTGTCCTCTTCTTTATCTTCTTCTGCTTTTTTAATATGGGAAACCTTTTATTTAAACCCCCCTGCCCCACTTTGAGGTTGGTTCCAGAGAAAAAGCTAATTTATCAGCAAGCAGCAGGTAAGTGTCAGTCATGGGGTCAAGTTTATGTGGCTTAATCTACTAGCAGCCCCCAGGCTTGCCCAGGAAGCCACCAGTAGACGGACAGGACTTTCATATTCGAGCTTTCAGGCAATAAAGGAGCCCTTGATTTATTCCGACAGTCATGCATTTGTTCAAAGTTGGAAAGCCAGAGATGTAGGAAATCAGTAGATGCCGAGGAATTTAAGCAGTCAAAACTCAGTGAGTCTGGGATTACAATTTGGCCTCTACAAGAGCAAACATTTTCGTCTTGGCAGAAGCCACGGCTAAACATGTACGCCACTCGGAAAATTCACCCAACATACTGAAGAGACAGAGAGCTAACTTTTAAAGGTTGAACCTGGCACTGTGGATCATCCACGCTGGGTAGGATCTGGGACTCCTTGGTGTTTTACTGTACATACGGGCATCTCTGGCATTCATCAAACCCATCTGACACCGTGGTTCTTTGAGGAGTCTTAACTATTTAGGAAGAAATGCCACACTGTATGTGCGTGTGATCGTACCACAGGTATGGCCAGTCTCTACAGTCTTACAGTCTGCCCCTATGTCTGCTCTCTCTCTGACCAGAAATGAGACCTGAGGGGTTTTCCACAGTAATGGAAAGAAGGAGATAGAGAAATACTAGCAAAGTCCACCTACCGGTCACTGCTACCAACATGCCTCAGAGAATGGTCAAAGAAGATGCTAAGGGCAACCAAGCTCAGGTTGAGTGTTGGCAGAGAAATGCAGGATTAGTCTTGAAACCTAGGCAGGTCTCTGCCTTCAGGAGGAATTTAAGCAGGGAGAGGAGCTGCCAAGAGGAAAAAAGAAAGAAGAAGGAGAAGGAAACCCTGAAGAGAAAGAAGAGAGGCCTCCGCATGGAATGGGGAGGGCCTGGGGGGGCCTCCTGGACATTGTTTTCATTTGAGACGGATTTTATTAGCCTTGATAAAAATGCAGAGTTTTGTTTTACTGCTTTAAAAAAACTATACTGTTAGCATATAGCACTGCTTCCTGGTTGTCTTCGGGGAACGAGGAGAAGTAGCGTGAGCAGAATGTCTGTCTCAGCAGTTGGACTGGAACGGGGGAAACCGGAGTTTGGAATCTAGTTTATGATGATTCCTCTATAGGCCCAGAAGGAATTCCCCAACGTTTATACACACAAGGCCTTTTTGGCAGAGAAGATCTATCTTTAGTGAGGAAAGCAAGAACTCATGCCTCTTCTCCTTGCCGGATCCCCCATTTGTATGGACTTTAGTTCCTTAAACCAAGAGGGTCTGGGCATCCCCAAATCACACATGTTGAGTAAGATACTTCAGGTAGTACAGAGTTCCTGGAAACAATATTACAAAGATATATGTGAGAAGCTCTTAAGTGACATACTAAATGGACATGGCCACCCATCCCATCAGTAAATATTTCGCATTAAAACCATCGGAGGCAGGCTTCATTGGCTGTTATAATGACTTGTGGTTCTTTTTTTTTTTCTAAATCATTTTACTGGGGGCTTATACAACTCTTATCACAATCCATCCATCCATCTATCCACTGTGTCAAGTACATTTGTACCTTTTTTTGCCATCATCATTCTCCAAACATTTTCATTCTATTTGAACCCTTGGTATCAGCTCCTCATTTCCCCCCTCCTCCCACTCCCACCCACCCTCCCTCCCGAAACCTTTATCATTTATAAATTATTATTATTTTTTCATATTTTGCACTGTCCCATGTCTCCCTTCACCCACTTTTCGGTTTTCCGTCCCCCAGGGAGGGGGTTATATGTAGATCATTGTGATCTGCTCCCCCTTCTCCCCCCACCTTCCCCTTCCCCTCAACTAGAGTTTGCTAGTCTTCTCATTTTGTGTGTATCCATTCACTTAGCTTCACAATTGTTGTCTCTTATTGTCATTTGTTGCCTCTGTCCTCCTGAAAATAACCTGCTTATGAAATTATTTTTATAAAGCTGAGTAGAGATTGGTTTAGGAGAAAATAAAAATCATCCCTAAAATCTCTTCTATACTGTCCTTCAAATCTCTTATTTATGCATTTGCTTTTCACATTTGTCTTTAGTTTTGTGAAAGTGTGAGATGCAATTTAGTTTTTGTTTTTTTTACGGCAGCAGAAGTATCCCTTGTCACCCCCGCCGATCTGCAATGCCCATTCTTTCTGGACTCCATCTTGAGTCACTTGCCCATTTGTCTTATTTTAGACTTGTACCTTTCTTAATAATTATACTGTTCAAAAAGTTTTGACATCACAGGGGACAAATCCCACTTCCTGCATAGCACTGCCTTATTTTTCCTGTGTCTAGAGTGTCCTAGCTATTCCTAGTCACTCATTCTTCCACACAACTTTAAATTCTCTATCAAGCCAATACAACCCAGCAATCTGTTAGACATTTGGCTGGATTTGTATTGAATTTATGGATTAATATGGGAAATGATGACTTCTTTGCAGTCTCCTAGTCCATAACATGGTATATGGCTCCATTTTGGGGGGTATAAATATTTTTCATGAAGTTTTTTAGATTGGACACTACTATATAAGGAAGACCAGAGAAGAAGTGATACATTTGACTTAAAATGTGCTGGTAAAAAAAAAAAAAGAAAGTACTATGGACCATTCAAAGTACAAGCAAATCTGTCCTGGACGAAGCTTAGCCAGATTCTCCTTAGAAAAGAGGAACGCCGAGACTTTGTTGTGCATGCTTAGGACATTTTCACAGGAGAAGCCAGTCCCTAGAAAATCAAATCATACTTGGCAAAGTAGAAGGACGTTGAAAAAGAGGAAGACATTTGATGAGTCGGATTGATAGAACGGCTGCAACAGTGGGCTCATAGAATAATTGTGAGGATGGCACAGAATTGGGCAGCATTTTGCTCTCCCAAAGACAAGGTTTTCTAATTTTCTCAAAAAGAACAGAGGAGGGGCAATGCTACATTTCTGAGCTGAGGACGTGACCAGTCAAATGTGTACCATTTAGCATGGCAATGCATATTACACTCACTTAGGACACATTGAAAATAAGTGTCTCTCTCTTTTTTTATTTCTGGAAAACTTGCTGTATTTCCCCAAGCAATTCCCTACACAACATCTTCTGCATTATTGGTTTCTGCCCATTTTGGCTCGCTCACTGCACTTCAAGCTCTGTCAGGTCACTGGCCTCCCAGGCTCTTCACAAGGTTACAGGCCCACCACAGAGAGAACAGGGATAAGAAGCGACTAACCTGTTCATTCTATTATTTCAAAAAATCATTTCATAAAGCCACATGTGAAAGAGATTTAAAAACCAAAAGCAAACCCAGGGAATGAGACCAGCAGATGTCCGACCTTTGTAAAAACGGGAGGAAAGTAGGCAGAAGTGCTTCCGTCCGGTCGGCAGAGATCTGAAGTTGGGCTGTGAACCTGCAGAAAGCAGAGACACATGGATCAAATTCTAAATATATAAATTGCTGAAAAGATAGACAAAAACACTCTGTCATTATTGTGATTGCTCCACTTGAATGAAAGTGTTACCATGCATCATCTTGCTGGTCAAACCTTACAGGACAGACAAGTTTCTACTTCCTCATCTCCCATCTGCTATTCTTCTTGTTCCAAAAGGATATTCAAGGTAAAAGTTCCCTGGGTCCTCAGGGATCCAGGAGCTCTTAAATGCTGTTACCAAATGGATTTCTGTGGGGGGGGCTCCCACGGGGATCTTGTAAAAAGGTTCACAGTCATTGTATTTGATTTTCAAATGCAGTTCAGATTCATTGTATATAAAATGTGAATTATTCATTGTATACAAAGGGGAGGATAAGTAAATGAACTAACATCTATCTACCTTACTTTAATTTGTATTCAATTGTGTGTGTGATATAGGGACTTCAAGGAAAGAGGATAAAAGGGAGATCTTTTTCCTCTTGACATTCAAAAAACAAAGACGTTGAAACACTTACTGAATGAAACTCAACTCTGGGAAACGGAGGTTCCAGTGCTAACTCCAGGTCAGCAGTTCCAAACCACCAACCACTCCATGGAGAAAGATGACACCTTCTACTTCTAAAGACTTACAGGCCTGGGAACCCACAGAGGTGGTTCGATTTTGTCCTAAAGCAGTGGTTCTCAACCTTCCTCATGCCACGACCCTTTCATACAGTGCCTCAAGTGGTGGTGACCCCCAACCATAACATTATTTTCGTTGCTACTTCATAACTGTAATTTTGCTACTGTTATGAATCGTAATGTAAATTTCTTATATGCAGGATGCATTTTCATTGTTACAAATTGAACATAATTAAAGCATAGTTGCGAATCACAAAAACAAGATGCAATTATATATTGTGAAATATTTATTTCTAATTACAAATCAATGAAATGTTGTCTCGAAGCATGGTGGAGCATGGGTAACAGTCTTCACAATGGGTACTTTTATGTGGGCGTATCTGCATTTGGGCGGAACCACCTGGAGACAGATAGAGGAGCGGTGTCTCAGTTTCTAAGACCATCGGAAATACGTTTTCCGATGGTCTTAAGTGACCCCTGTGAAAGGATTGCTGATCCCCAAAGGGGTCGCGACCCACAGGTTGAGAACTGCTGAACTAAAGGGTTGTGGCGAGTCAGAATCGACTCAAGGGCAGCGAGTGAACAGCCACCACTCTTTATTGGTTGCTTTTAGTGGGACATCATCTTGAGTCCCGTTGTAGAGATGTTAGCGTGGTGAGCATGGACCGTATTCCTTTTCCCTGTAGACGTGTGCACTGGATGTGACTTAGGTGGTCTGGATCTGTTGTCATGGTCTGCATATGGCCAAAGAATATAGAGGGCACTTTTTTTAGCCTTCACTTTGTGCTAGAAACTACTCTCAGAGTCAAGTAAAGACTGCCTCACGGAGTGCTTGTGACAGCCTTGTAGCTAGTAATGGCGTCTTCATCTCACAAGTTAAGAAAGTTGGCACAGAGCTGCCTCCAAATACTTGGAAGAGCTGGGATTCAAACCCAGACCATCCGGCTCCAGAACTCTGAGCGGGATGCCACAGTGCCTACATTTCTGAGCCCCTCATCCTTTCAGTAATAATCTTCTACCCACCATCCTGGCAATATTGACACCATTTAAAGTGCATGATTTACTTATGATGGTATTTATATATGTGGATACACAGGTCTCTTTCTGTACTTAGAACTCTCAAGTCCAAAAGCCAAACTCACTGCTACCATGTTGATTCTGACTCACAGTGACTTTTATACTGTACTTGAACATAATTTGCTATATTTAAGAAATGTTTCATTTGAAAATTTATATTTTCTGTTTCCCATACCTAGATTATAAACTATGTGAAAACAGGGTGGGTGACTTCCCCCTCCCCCTGCTTTGAAGTGGCTAGTACCATGCTAAACATTCAATAAATGCTCATCAAGTTTTACAGCCTAAACACCAAAGCTCCAGTGACGTCCTGTAATAAAAACATTTCTATAAATCCGCCTGTGGTTTAGAGGAAATTTCTGTGATACAATCTATCTCCAAGTAACTTACATGGGTTGATTCTTTTCAAGTTCATGAACCCAAATATCTTTTCTTTTCTGTACTCTGTTTGCATGTTCCACATATCACAGAGTATATATCACAGCCTATGATCCCTAAAGCACCTGTGAATGCTCACTAGATACTAAAGGCAGACAGAGGCACATCTATGATTCCAAGATAGACTCATTAGTTAGGAATGAGTGTAAAACTCAAGTGTGTGTGTGTTCGCCTGCGAGTGAACACCAGGGGAGCCTTCAATGACAGTTGTATTTAAATATACTCAGCATTGCACAAAAGCAAAGTAACAGGAAATAGTTCAATATTTTAAACTTAAAAGACTATGTTGTTGGCAAAGCAAACTCAATACAATTACTCTGTAGTTGTAGTAATGGTCTTTCTGAGATAAAGCAGTCTTACGATGAAATATGAGTAGAGGCAGATAAAAATGCTTGGTGGAATCAAGGAACTTGAATGTCTTTTCTGATTTATTATCTGATTAGTCCTTAATCGATGTGGTATGTGGGCTTTTCCTGCCTTTTCATTTATTTTAAATGAGCTAGTTAACTTAGATAAATGGAAGGGAGTACAAACATGAGGAATAATCAGATAGTCATAGCTAAAACAGATGCTCTCTTTTGAGGGTCCTCACTGGCGATTAGAAAACATTTGCAATGGAAATGCAGATGTGGGCTACATGGTGGCAAGGCTGTGCTTTGAAGATTATTTTTAGTCGATTAAAAGGGAGACGCTTATTTTACCTATCACTTTCTTTTACCCCAGTTCTTTTTTTCACTTAGAAAATATTTCAAGACAGCATAATAGTTAGAAGTAAAGATGTACGGTTGAAATTGAAAAAGACTGTCAGGGAGTTTGGCTCCTAGTGGAGAACTACTACGCAAGGCCTGCCTACCTGTTGAACAGGGACAGCCAAGGGCTGAATCACAGCGGTGGTCACGCCTGCCTTCGGAGATGATGATCCGATAGTTAAGGAAACAGAAGTTGTTTTCTTTTGAGTCCTGGAAGGAAGGAGGCACGTGATTATCTATAAATCTTTAAGTGGGATCATTCTTTGAAAACCTTTCTACAGAAACAGTTCAATTTCTTTCTGTCATGCCATCTCAACTGTATATGCTTCAGAAATGTAAGCCAATATAATATAGACCTCCAATAGCAGTCGTCAGTACATATACCTTATAAATATTTAACAAAACAAACATCTGGATAGAAGAAAATAGCAATGTATAACTCAGACACTGTCAAACTTGAAACTTGAAAATCTTGGGGGAAAAACCCAGTCCTTATTAGTAAATAAATGTTTGGAATCTTTAGGATTAGGGTCTTCCATTTGAGGCAGTTGTCTAGCTTCTGGCTCGCAACTATTCTTTCTCTTGGTTTCCAGTTTTGTAAGTTGTGAGTGTCTTGAAAATTTAGTGCTTAAAAGTTTGTGAGGAATAATGAGAGAATTGGGAAGGACTGGTGTCTAGGTCCGGCTTTGCCAAAAGTAGCTGGGTGTGTTATCTCAAGGGAGTCCTATAACCTCACTAAATGGGAGTTCGTTGTCAGAAATCAGAGGTGGCCCTATGTCTTTACGTCTTCATAAGGGATTCTTTGAAGCTCAATGGCTAGAATTGCTTTGTACACACTCATGTGATCAAAGAGATTTATAAGTTTTCTACCTTACACGTTTTGGTTTAAACCATAGTAAGAGAGTTTTCTGCAGATTTTAGTAGAGTTTGTATTTTTGAAAGATATATGAGATATTAATATTTTACTACTAATATATATGTCATGGAAGAAAGAGCAAATTATGTGTTTTTCTTGTACAAAGTCTAATTAGAAACAAATTTTACCCAGATGACAATGTATTTCTGGTCTAATTAGATTATTTCACTCTGTGTAAATAAATAGGTTCTAATTTGCATTTAGATAATGATTTAATTGATTCTTTTCTGAATCTAAATGATATTTGTATGTACTTCTAACCAGCTGATAGTTGTCTTTGAAACTAACATTGTAATTGGTTAAATTTTGGCACATCAGTGATGATACACAGACTTCAAAGTTCAAATTTAGAAGTTAGAGATTACGTTTCAACTTCAAATATTTTTTGATTGACATCAGTTGACCTTTTTCTTCAAAGCACCAACTTCATGGCTCCATACCCTAACAATGTGGCTGACACAGTCTGTAATAGCGATCAGTGATGGGAAAGTAGGGACTTACTGTGGCATAGCTCCTGGTTTTGATCGGAAAGCGACGCTTTCACTGTCAGAATCAGAAGAACTGGCACCTGGAAGAGCATTTAAAAAGGTAGTAAAGCTTCAACCTAAGTGGTAGCTATAATCATCTCAAAGAATAATGTTCTCATTTAAACACACACACACACACACAGTCTCAATTTGACCCAAATGCATATTGAAATAGAAAACCATTTTTACTTGGATGGTATTTTCAGCAAACCATTTTTAAAAAGCTGTCTTCAAAGCAATATGCTTATAATGCCAGATTTATCATTCCTTCTATTTTCTCTCACTTTGACCATCACCACTTACTTTTCAATGACTTATAAACTATTTGTGAAATATAGTTCAATGTGCGTGTGAGAAAAATAACACTCAAGGGTGTGCATTTGAACTTTTCTCCTGGTCTGGATTACTGTTTACATCACTCAAGGATGTCTATATTAAAGCAGATGCTTTCTGAGATTTCAATAAACGAGGGTGTGGTTTTAGCTTCCACTTGTAAATGAGAGTACTTCTGATTTTGGATCATGTCCTTCCAAATTCACTTACATCATCACTCTTCTAGACTTACAGGTTATTTTATCATATTTTTAAGGAGCTGTCATGGTGTTGTGGAATAAACACGGGGCTGTTAACTACAAGACTGGCAATTCAAATCCACCAGCAGCTCCACAGGAGAAAGACGAGGCTTGTCTGCCCCTGTAAAGATCTAGTCTCAGAAACCTGATTTAGGGCCATCCTGAGTCAGAAGCCACTTGATGGCTTTGGGTTTTACTTTTGTTTGATCATACTTTTAGATTCCTGTGTTGAGCAACAGTTTATGCTCAGACACTAAGCTATAGGTTGTAAATTCCAACTCGCCACACAGCGCCGCAGAAGCAGATCTGGGGATCTGCTTCATACGGATGATAGCCAAGAAGGTGCTCTAGAGGCGGTCCTCCTCTGTCACACAGGGCCACCAAGACGGGAGCAACGGGGCAGCAGTAGTTTGGGGCTTGGTGTATCAGATTTTTAATCAAGATGTAAACTGCACTCGGGTAGTATATTTTCTGTCCAGAAAATGAAATAGTATTTTAAAAATAACTGTAATGATTACAAGCAAATTCTTGGTATTTTTCTTAAGAGGTATGTTTAACTTCTTTAAAAAGCTCACTGCCATTGGATTGAGTCTGACGCATAGCAACCCTTTAGGACAGGGTGTAACTTCCCTGTGGGTTTCTGAGACTTCAACCTTTGCTTTCTCCTGTGGAGGGGTTGGTAGTTTTGAACTACTAACCTTGTGGTTAGCAGCCCAATGTGTAACCCACTACACCACCAGGGCTCGATATTTATTTTGGGTTATTTATATTATTTTTTAAAAATCCTTTATTATAAACTAGTTCAGGTAGTTTAGTAGTTTGAATAAAATGATAACCTCATTCCAGTGACTCAATTATAAGTCAGTTCTGATGAAGCTGAAATATTATTTAAATGAAGCTGACTACTTCACTTAAAAAAGTATTATTGTATTTGGGGGTTGAGATTTTACATACAAACACATATATATGCTGACATTAGCAAAGTCCACACTGTAACATTGTACATGTATTACATATTACTAACAATTAATATATACACCAAAAAACAACCGAAAAATCAATAGACAGTAGTAAATGGGGAATCATTGTAACTTGAATGTCATAAGCCAAGGACTACTTGTACTCATTTATAGGTAAATAATAAAATAACACAGAATTATGTGATATAACAGTAAAGATCAGGGAGTACCCCACACATATTCAGCACATGTATATATTTTTCTGAAAATGTTAATATATTAACATAGACATATTTATGTACATATTAATACAAATGGAAGCACACTAAGTGAAGTCTTTGCAATTATTTCTGCCTATCAATAAGGACTCGTGGTGGCAAGGTGGGTTATGCCTTGGGGTGCTAACTACGAAGTCAGCTGTTTGAAACTACCAGCTGTTTCTTGTGAGCAAAATGAAGCTCCTTCCATTCAGAAGTTTCTTGGGGGAAGGTGGAGAACTGATGATAATGGGTACAAGAGAGTAGCACGTATTCTAAAGTTGATGGTGAGATGATTGTACAACTCTTATTAATATGATTGAACTATTGAATTGTATGATATGTGGAACATATGCCAAGAAAACCATTTAAAATAATAATAATAATAAAACAAGAGTTACAGTTTTGGAAACCAACAGAGACAGTTCTACTCTGTCCTATAAGATTGCTATGTGCCCTTGAATGAACTAGTGAGCCTATCAATACATTGTGTACATATATATTTAATTCACTTAGTGTTTCTTCCTTTGATTGCACTGTAAAACCTTCTCAGTCTTTTATTGATGCTGAAACCATTATGTTTAGAAAACTCTACGGAAGCGTTTCCTGTATGAACTGCTCCCTAGTCATTTCTATAACTACCACCCTAGTGTAGGGTTTCTTCACTTTGCGCCTGGACAACCACAGTCGGGTTTTATCTCGTCTCCTACCTCCTTCCTCTGTATCTGTTTCTCTCTTATGTCATATTCAAATGTCACATTAATTTTCCTTTACTATATCTTATCTGCTAAAAGAGACATGAGCTTATGGATTTTATTCAGTGACTTAAGAACTTTGAAATGACCTCCAATGCCATTCATAATCAAGTTTATTATCTATCTCTGTCTTCCCAGCCTTCTTATACTTCCACATCATATAATCCTAGTGCACACTTATACATACATATGCACCTATTTACATGCATGTACACAAATATACACACACATGTATATATGCACATATATACATATATATGACAGGCATGATAAAACATAAGGAGAGATATCAATGCACAATTCATTCTTCAATCCTTCAACACATCTTTATTGAGTATGTATGATATGCTGGGCATTCTGGAAGATCAGGAAGAAAACAAATACAGAAAATCACACACACCCCTTCCCTTGTGGATTTTATGGACTTAAGAGCAGATGGGCAGTGGATAAGATAAAACAAATACAATATATTGGTGGGTACACTGGGGGCTGCACAGTAGGTGAGGGTCCTAGAGACTGATGGGGAAGCAATGTAAGTGTGTGGAATCTGGGGGTGTGCGGGGTGCCGTCCTTTATTTGAAGTAACTGGGAATGTGACCTTAAAGATTCAAAGGAGTTGTGGGCTTTCTCTTGGTCATTAAAAGTACTTGCATTTAGTCACATTACTAAAGAATCTACGAAAGTCTTGCAGTTTTCTACATTTTAAAACTATCCCAGTCATTTTTCTGTGCTCTCGTTTCTATACTCCTAGTCCTCTTGCGTCTTGAGAAATGCATGGGGTCAGGTAGGCGTTACCATATTTTAAGTACTATTATTTTACCTAATAATCCAGTAAACCCCAAACCAAACTCGCTGCCAACCAGTCGATGCTGACTCTTAGTGACCCTAGAGGACAAGGTAAAACTGCCCCACCCTCCCTTTGAGCTTCTAAGCTGTAACTTCATAGGAATAGAAAGCCTCATCCCTCTCCCGAGGAGTGGCTGGTGGTTTTGAACTGCTGAAGGTGAGGATGGCGGCCCAATGTGGAATGAGCACACCACTAGGGCTCACTAGTGTAGTAGGCATTTTATATCATATGATTATAATTACATAAAATAAGAAAGTAATATATTTAATTATAAATATTATACTGAGTAAATGCATTGTATATAATGGCATTATAATTCATCGATATCATACATAAAAGTGGGCGTGTCCACTTTACAGATAAGGATACTGAAGAACTAAGAGGCTAAGTACACCGAACTAGGAAGCAGTGAGGACAGTTTTACTCTCATGTTTTATGAAAGCATGATGTTCCTGCACACCATGTGAGCTCCATGTGCTGGCATTTCCATGTTCTTGAGTATACCGTGATCCCTGCTTTCTCCTAGAAAGCCTTTAGCTTCGGGTTGCCTGAATGAATGCAAGTAGGGAATGCAAAGCTTGTTGGAGGGCAGGGAGTGCACCACGAAGTTAGCAAAAACCACGCTGGTGGGGAAGTATCGGGAAGCTAGTCTGGAAGCATGGGGCATGGACTGGGATGCCAGGGCTACAATGTTTGGATTTTATCTTCCAGGCACTGAGGATGGTGACTTGGGAACATTAATTGCACAGGACTAAGTGAGGACATAGGGGGAAAATCCACCACAAAGCTAACTATAAACAATGAAAAACAGGTAGTAGACAAAGAGAAAGTTTAAAGTGTGGTAAAGTTGGGAAGGTTAAGCAGGAAAAGCATTGAGGAAAACCCAGTAGACTTGGTTAGCAGAAAGGCCAGGGTAGCCTGACAGGCCTTATTTTTTTGAAATCATAAAAGTGACTAGGGAAAGTATTATGCGAAGGGTATGCATCGGTCTTATGGAATTACCAAAGACATTTTCAAGGTGGCCAGAAATTAGGATGGGAAATAGTTATTTATTCTCTGATCCCAAATATTCAAATCATTAATAACAACAACCAACCAAAAAACCCCAAACCCACTGCCACTGAGTAGACTTTGACTCATCCTTAAAATTGTTGGGCCTTCAGAAATCCTATGGGAGCAGATCGTCTCAGCTCTTACTCACGGAGGGGCTGGTGGGTTTGAATCACCAGCCTTGCAGTTAGCAGCTCAACACTTACCCAACAGTGCCACCGGGAACATAAGCAGAATATTTTAAAAAATAATAAAACAAACTCTTATTATGATACTTCTAATAAAAAGCTAGTCTTGCTACTTTTGTTTGTTTGTTTATAACTGGTTTACAGAGAACAACAAAGGGCCACAAAGGTTTGCAATAATATGTTTGCTGGTGTTTACACACCTGTCCAACCCACACAAAATCTCAATGTCCCTTAGTGTTTCAGGTGTCATAGTAGCTGTTGCAGATGGGGACGGATGAAATCTCCCCATCTGTGCCAGCGAGTTCCCTTCCCTACCCGCAGGGCAATTCTTCCCGCCCTCCCTTCTGCCTCCCCATTTCAGTCATCTGCTTGGTACCTGCTGCTCAGGGAAAGTCACACGCATTCTGGGTTAGCATTTTTTTCCATATTGCCAACCCATCGTTTTCAGCTTTTGCTGTCAGTTCCAGTCTGAGAGAGGCACACATTCCGGCTTTCTCCAGGACTATGGCTACGTGCTTCTTTAACGTTTTCCTGCCTGAATGTTTACGCCTTGACATGGCCCACACACAGAGCCTAGGGATCAAATGCTGGGTAACTTTGCCTCCCTCTTTGAGGAATGAGGGCCAGTTCAAGGATCACAAAAATGAGCCCCTGCCTTGATTTTCAAAGCGGTCCCCTTTCCATTTTAAATATGCACTAAATTTAATACTTTAAAAAAGTTCCTTACATAATGAATATGCTCTTGTAGGAAAAAAAGGAAACAGACTATACACACACACAAAAAATTAAAGGACAAGTCATTTGAATGCTAGTTCCCAGATATCTTGAAGTCTATCTTTACAAAATGTAGCCCCTATGTACATGTATTAGTAAAGTATATATTTAAAGAACTGTGATGTTGTAGTACAAGTGTTTACTTACGTCTCTTTCATTTGACAGATTGTCAAATGCCTTACACATATTTACAGATATACATGTTCTTTATAATTTTCTAGTGGCTGCTGCCAATGCCTGTGTATGGATTTACTGTAATATCCTTATCCCATTATACTGAATATATGTATTCTCAAGTTTGTATTAATTTATATTACATCTCTTCAGAAAGCTGCATCAATTCTCAATGTGACATAACACCCATTCCTCAACCTCATGGAAACATCCTTCCACCATCTAGCACAAATTCATTTCCTTTCCCCTTGCAAACATGTTAGTCTCCATGTCATTCTCCTCCCTGCCTATGTGGCCATTCGAGAATTATTATTATCAACATAAACACATGCTCTGGTTAATGACCCCTGCAAGGTCAGCAATTCAAAACCACTGGTCACTCCAGGGGAGAAAGGCAAGGCTTCCACACCTGTAAAGATTTACTGCCAAAAACCCAGAGATAGTTCTACCCTGTTCTAGAGGGTTGCTGTAGGGAGGATCAACTCAATGCTGTAAGAAAGAGAGGCTGAAAACTAACAACAATAAAACTTTTCTTGATTCTGCTCTCCGCTCCACACACCCGTCAATCCCTCTGTGCGGAGGAAACAAGTCTTCCTCGAGTATCTATGACTTGCTTCATTATTTCACGCATTTTTTCCTCAGTACCTTTCACTTGATCTTTTCCATATTTTCCACCTTCTAAATAACCACTAAATCCAGTGGTTAGTGGTCTCCTCGCCCTCATTAGACTGGACAAGTCAGCAGAAGTGGGTAGGGCTGCCTTCCCTCTTCTGCCTGGAGCTCTTTCCACTTGCTTCCCATCATGCCACTCTCCATGCCTGGTTTCTCTCCTATCTCTTATTCTCCCACTTCTTATTCAACTTTGCTAGTGTCTCTTCTCCTGAGTACTTCCAAAGTGTGAAAATCTCAGGGTCAGACTTAGGTCCCATCCTTTGCTTCGTCTTCATTTCCTTAGGTGATCTGCCCCACGGTCTATCCAGTTTTATAGATTGATGACCATCTATATCTTGATGCTCCATAATCTATCTTTTTCCACCCTGAGTGCTAGTCTGTATTTATATGTTCAAATATTGACATGACACAATACTTGCCCATCTAAATAGCGGTTTACATTTTAGCATATTCCAAATGGGCTTTCTGATCTCTCTATCCTATCAGCCACCTTTATTTTCTTCACAGCACTGGAAGTATTGATGAGTGTGCTGGTTTCCTCTCTTTCTCCTGTTCTGAGTGTCAGTTCAGGGAGAGCAGAGGCTTGTCTTATTCGTGGATATGTCTGCAGTGTCTGAACCACTGCCTGTCTCACAGAAGCCACTCAATAAATATCTCATGAATGACTACAGAGTGCTCAATTACGTGCCCTAAAGCATGGTGTGTTCAGATCCTAAATCCTGTTACTAGATTAAGACAAGGATTATGGATATCTCACAGATATCAAATCCAGTTGCACTTTATTTGGAAGAAGACAGACTCGGGTCAGAAAGCATAGGCTAGAATACTTGAATTGTATGTCTATGTGTGCAATGCATGCATGTGCATGTGTGTGATCTATAGTTTGTATTGTTCCATTGACAACCTTTATAAAGTGTAATTGAGGCACAGTTGAATTACTTGGTATAGCTCTTCTATCCATAGATATCCATAGTTCTGGGTCTCACCAAATAACTGGGTGGGAGCATGCCAATAAGGCATATGGAGAAATTTGAATCGAGAATTAGTCAGTTTTACTATTCCTCTGGGAGAGTCATTTCAGACGCATAAAAAGGGAATCCTGTGATCATAATGAAAGGAAAGCCAAGAGCAGCGTACACCTGAGCTCCTTGTGTGCACAAGCAGAGTCTAGGAGACAGAGTGGTGGGCTTCCCAGCCCAGGGACTGAGGAAAGCTGAGTGTCCTTGTCAAGAGGCTGGCTTGCAGCGAGGGAGGCTTTTTGAGCATTTATCAGTCCTAAAGATGCTTCGTAAAACTTTCTCAAGCTGGGCAGAGGCCAAGGCGCCACATGACTGAGTTCAAGGACCAGAAAGAGATGTGCCTGTTGTACTCACACTGTCTGACTCATGTATCAAAACCATGTCCACAGACAGTGTATAGATTTAAACTCCTACAGACCCGATAATACAGAGCAGATTTGTTACAAGCAATTGCTAATGCTGTATATCTTTCCGGAAGCAGAGCATCACGTCTTTCTCCCACGAAGCTGCTGATTTGCTGAGTCGTTGGTTAGTTGCTCAGCATTCTAATCACTCTGCTACCAACATGTCCTCTGGATCACACGATGCTCCTAAGCAGTGTTGGCTGAACTGAGTTGATAACTGTGTTAGTCTGGGTACTTTAGAGAAACAAATCCACAGTAACTCATGTATAAGAGAAAGTTTTATATAAAGGTTAATTGTGCATCAAGAAAACATCCCAACCCAGTGCTGCCCAAGCCCACAAGTCCAACATTAACCCATTAACCCATATGTCCAACAGCAATCCACAAAGTCCTCCTCCATCTCACAAAACAGACGCTATGATGCCGACATCTGGAGGAAAGCTGAGTCAGTGAATGTGGAAGCATCTCAGTGCTGGCAGGGGTCTCCTGGCTGCTCCAGCACCCAGGGCTGCATCAGGGTAGGGCCATGTGGCTTCTGCTCATGGATGTCTTGCAGGAAGTGAGCCTTGTAAGCTGAAGAGGGAACTGGCTAAGGCAGCTGGACCCTGGTCCGACCATCGCAAACCAAGAGACCCGAGAGCTCAAAAGGCGAGGCTCACTGGGCCATTTATCCCTCTGCCCTTCAATTAACCCCACATGTGTTTATCGGCCAGGTTGGCACAATAAATTAACGACTTCAATAACCTACTACTTAAAATGAAGGCAATTTCATTTAACATCTAGTATCAATAAAGATTAATATCCTAGGCATTAGTGAGCTGAAATGGACTGGTAGTGGCCATTTTGAATCAGAAAATCACATGATGTGCTCTGCCAGGAATGACACAGGCAAGAGGAAAGGCACTGCAGTCCTCATCAGAAAGGACATGTCAGGGTCTAGTCTGAATTACAATGCTGTCTTTGGTAGGATTTCATCTACCTGTCTTCAAGGAAACCCATCCAAATTTATTATTCAAATGTATGCACCAACCACAAAAGCAAATGAGGAAAAACAAAGAACTCTACCAAAGACTTCAGTGTGCAATTGATCCAACATGCAATCAAGCTACATTAAGTATTGGCAACAGCTGGAAACCAAGAGGAAGGAGCAGTAGTTGGAAACCATGGTCTTGGTGACAGAAATGAAGCCGGAGGCCTCATGATAGCATTTTGAAAGAGGAATGACTTCTTCATTCCAAATACCTTTTCAACAACACAGATGGAAAGTTTACACATGGATTACTCTAGATGGTATACACAGAAATCAAATTGCCTACATCTGTGGGGACAGAAGTTGGAGAAGCTCAATGTTAGCAGCTAAAGCCAGGCTGGAGGCAGGCTGTGGAAGAGGCCACCCACTGCTCTTTGTGTGACTTTGAATGACCCCCTTTTACCACTCAAGTCTCAGTTTATTACTTGAAATATAGGAATATGAATTGTATGTCATAACCCAACGCCACTTAGTCAATTCCAACTAATAGAGACCGTGTAGAGAATTTCCAAGACTAAATCTCTCAGGAGCCGATAGCCTCAACTTTCTCCAGAGGTGTGTACTTAAAACAGTGTGGTATTTTAAATGATTGAGATTGAACAAAACGCACGAGTAATTTGTGTTTTGTATAATATCACTTTGATATCAAAACTTCTAATTCCCCAAAGGCTGAGGGTCTTGTCAAAAGTAGATTGGTAGAGCAACGGAAATATTCTGTGTTCTGTCTGCCCATCTTGAAGACAACAGAGACTTTTGAAATTACTCTCACTCCAGTGATTGCAAGTGTATGGTATATTTAGCATGAGCAGTCGAGTTTTCAGAAGAGAGTAAACACTTTAGATGTAGTCAAAATGTGAACCTTTAAAAAGAATCATTTCAAATCCTCATGAGTGATTTCCTAAAGCATTTATAGCTTAACTTCTGTTGACAGATATGACATTTTAGTTATGTTTCTGTTCTTTCTTTACTAAGGAAACATCAAAACAAAGAGGCTATTTCATGTTCTAAATAAATTCAATTTTGCTGAAATGTCTTAAATGAAAGAGAAAATGTTGATATTGGAGAAATTCAATGTGAGTTAAGTATCAGAACTTTCAATTTATGATTTTTTTTTCAGGAAGGATGAAGATTTAAGTTATAATCCCCGTTAGGCTGTTGGCATTGGAAGAGCATATTCAGAATAAAGTTTTCTGGCACTCAAATTCTTAGGACATTCATAAACCTTTCCTAGGACCCTCTGCTTACCTTCAATAAACACCTCAGCAGATGTTGTATCAGAGCCGCTGGGGTTCGTAGCCAGGCAGGTATAGCGGCCCGTGTCGTCCTCAAAGGCCTCTGCGATGGTCAAGGTATGGAGGCCCCCACCCTCACAGCGGATGTGGATGTCTGGGGTGCTGTGCAGTTCTTTCCCCTCAGAGAACCATCTGCAGCCACGTGGAGGCCAAGGGCAGGAGAGGAGGAAAAGAAATGGTGTTTAAAACAAAGCAGACATGGAAGACTGGATGCTATGTAATAAGATTCTTGTTTGCTTAAAAAAAAAGAACTATGCCAATGTTAACAGTGGAAGGCATACATTTTAGACGGTGAAATTAATGACTAGCCAGTCTCCCTAAGTTTTCTTTGTACACATCTTGTACGTTTTATGAACTCCAAAATAAGGGACCTTGTCAAACGTAGAAAGATAATCTCAGTTACAATGTAAAAGAAACAGAAATTCAAAGCGTCCGATGAAATACTTTAGAATGAATGCCTTATCCATTTATGACCCTTTTATATATTGTTCTTATCTACAGAAAAACAGAAAAGTAACCTAAACATTATGTTCAAAATATCTGATGTGTTAGGAAAACTTACCATTCATGTTTGAAGGGCATAGGCAGCAATATTTTTGTTGCCCCCAAGCTGTCTGATCAGCTGAGCAGCAACAGATATAATGCTTTCCACATTTCTGATGCTAACACAACTTTATAGCAGACCACAAGGCCTTGGAGACATTAGAGAGATGTAGCGGCTGTGTCGTAATTCACTCTTGCTGGTTAGCAATTTTCCTTTCCCAAACAACCAGGGCCTTGGAGTGGGAAGCCGCCAGCTGCCAGACTGATTTAACACAGGTTCTCTATCTCCATTGGTCCTCCATTCCCTCAGCACCTCAAATTCACAAGATTTGGTTGCCTTTACATTTTTCAGAAAGAAAGAAAAAGCAAAGCTACCCTGAAAACCTGCCAAGTGTGATTTATTTTTTTTTAATTTGTAGGAATGTGCCACTAACACAACTAAAAGGATTGAAGTCTTGGGGACAATGTTATCCATTTAGCTTTTAAGCAGCAGTTCAAGATTTATAGAGTCCAATCTCCATAAAATTGTTTGGATTTGGCTTCCTTTTGTGAAAATATGCCATTTAAGCTTGATTCCCTATTTCTGCATTTTAGGTATTTGTATATATTCATTTGAAAATAATTTTTAAAATATTTAAATCATTTTATTGGGAGCTTGTACAACTCTTATCACAATCCACACATACATCCATTGTATCAAGCACTTTTGTACATTTGTTGCCATCATTCTCAAAACATTTTCTTTCTACTTGAGCCCTTGATATCAGCTCTTCATTTTCCC